AAGTGCAAGGCATGAAGAGATTCTATCATTATTCTGTGATGTTCCACAGTCACGAGTCATATTTCCAGCATTTTAATCTTTGATTTCTATTCCTTTAATGTATCAATACAAAAACTGAGAGTCCAGATTTCAGCTTGACACTTACACATACCTGTACTTGGTCTGAGAGGAATTTGGTAATGAATGTGATATCCACCAAATAGCTGGATTCAAGAAACCTTTCCCCCCTCAAATACAAGAACAAACCACCATAACTTTAGATCCTGAATTTACAAATGGATTCACAAGTATTTGTTTTTCAATTTTCCATCATCTCCTGGCTTTCATTGCAGCTTTATGACATCCTCTTACCTCATATTGTCATGTCATTTTATTTATATAGCAGATTTTAAACAACAGTAGTTGGCCTAAAGTGCTTTCCAGGTTAATGCATTTACATCACAGGCCTACAAAAACCTAACTGCAAAACATACAGCAACATGATAAAATGAAAATCAACCAACTAGTTAAAAAAAAATTATACTTAATGGTTATGGAATAGACGGTCATACTTTGTATGTTGTTAACCTTTTATACCAGCGGTCCCCAGCCTTTTTTGCGCCACGGACCGGTTTATGCCCGACAATATTTTCACAGAAAATAAAACTAGTACTGGTATCGAAAAAAGAAGATTTATTCATAACACAAGTGAAACGACCCAGAAAAACCGAGTAAACGACAAAAACAATAACAAAATAACGCTAAAAATCGATAAAAACCCTGAAAACCATACATTTCACACCCGAACCTCAACTCTTGCAGCCCAGTACCAAATGACTCACGGACCGGTACTGGTCCGTGGCCCGGGGCTTGGGGACCGCTGTTTTATACCATGCACAAAAACATAGTGCAACAGTATAAAGGAAGCAAATATTCTAATTCACTAGTGTGCACCAAAAAAAAGCCAAATTAGACAGTCTACAAAATCCTTGTTAGAGAAGTTGCAGATATGATATCAACAGAAGAAAAATTACTGCTTCCAGTTTAAAACAATATATGCAAGTTTACAGCTGTGTTAGTTTGCCTCTACAACTTTTTACATGTTTTCATGAGGTCTAAAGTACAGCAAGTTTTCTGTACCCTGCCAGTCACCACAAGAAGAGTTGGCTATCTCTGTGCCAGTCAGCGAGGATGTGCCAAAAGTTTGCAAGTGCGTCACTTACCCAGTCCCGCTAAAGTCCCAAGAATAGTTACAACTCCGAAAGCTATCCAAAGACTGCGCACTGCCATCATATTCCAAGACCTCTCTGCTGCTCTGCACTGTACTGTGCTGTGCTGCACTATATTGAAATATAAAGTGAGATACAGAAAGACAGTGAGACTGAAGGCAGATGAAGAGCTCTAAATCCCCCTACCAAACGTCCTGACTGTCACCCACCACGGCTGTCACTATCCGGGGTTCAGATTACACACCAGCTGAAAGCACTAAACCAGGACTTCCAGTCACTCTCCAGGCACCCACAATAATAATCATCATCATCATTAGATAGCAACTCCAACATTAGACAAAAACTAGGAGTGTCCAGGATATTCCAGATATTTCTGAAGGTAGCAATGAGACCTGTAAGCGAGACCTTATACAGCAGGAGTACTCGCATCATCAGGATAGAAAATTTCAGTTGTCAGATCGATGTATGGTCAGTGCACAGCACGAGGGCCAGTGTCACTGACAGGATTAGTGGTTGGTGTTTCCTCTTTAATCTGTCACTCACCTTTGTATCCACTAGACATGCGTAGAACTTTAAAATTTTGGTGTCAGTGTTAAAGATCGATGCAGGAAATGGCTAAATCCCACAGGTTACAGCAGGGTGAACAGGTGACTGGTGGTGCACACCTCCTATGCGTGTCCAGAGTATTGATTCTTACAGTAAACCTTGCAGGACCTCAGCGGTGAGATAGTGTCTGCAGAATAATGGGGTTAGAGGGCTGCACATAAACCCCATGAAACCAGGGAGCCCAAGAGTCTGACCTGTCAGGTTGTTTTAGCAATTCATTTAAAATGCAGAGACTAGATTTGTTGTCATAATAAAGGCTGTGATTAATCTAAGGAGTGTCTCTTTGCAGTGGCAAGGGCAACAGACTGATTTTTGGAATGTGCCATGTGAGTTGCACAGTATGTGATGTACTTCTAAATATACAATTGGGGAAACAGAGTTGAGCTTCTTTAAGGTAACTGGAGCCTCCAGAAGGCAGATTGTGTGTCTCGCACTCAGAGCTCAGAAGCAGAAAGGCTCGAGCTGTGGGCCTTCAAATTCCAGAGAGCAGAGCTGTTTTATATCCAAACAGGTGTCAAATTAAAGGGAAAAAAAACATTAAACCTTTGAACCCTACTAGCGGTTCTGTTATACTGTGTGGGAGTCAACTCATCCTGTCAAAGGGAAGGGTCACAGCAAATCAATACAAAGTTCAGAGTGATCTTTCTGTCCTGATGGGAGCTTTCTGTTCGAGGGGAGGCCTGTCCAGAGGACATCAGGGCTCAGTGAGTGACTTGATGATGATGAATTATATGCTATGACCCCCGTATTATGTAAAATCTATGCCATAGAGCACTTAAGGTGTCCTAACTAAGATTACTTATGGTGGGTTTCCTGCATTTTTTCCACCTGTCTATATATATGCATTATACATTAATAACAAAACTCTGTTATTTTCCCTCATTATAATAAAGCTTCTGCTTTTATACTCGACATGCCTCATTCACCCATTCACACAAGCACCTTTCTTTCTAAGTGCTTTCTATCTAACATATAAACACATTCACACTGACATGAGCAACTTTGGGATCAGTACTTTGACCAAGGATACTTTGTCATGCAGACTGGAGTAGGCAGGAATCAAACCACTAATTTTCACATTAGTAGATGGTCTGCTTTATCTTCTCAGCTACAGCCTTCCAAAACATGTTCTGTTTAGGTTAATGTTTCCACATTACAACCACTCTGAGCAATGTGCTGTGTTTATATTTGTTACCCTCTTCTCTACTGCTAAAGTACAGCATTATACTCTCAAGCCCACCCGATTAGCATCAGAAAATAACTCACATGGAGGCTAGTTAGTGCGACATGTGAGACACGTGTGTGTAACTGTTTTTATAGCTACAGCCAACAACTACAACTAGCGTTTCAAATATAGCTACTACAAGGGAAGCTGGGGGGATCAAAATATTGTTGGGTTAATCTGAATATGAAATGACACAGGCAGTGCCTTGTTTTGGAATTCAAATAAAACTCTGAAACCTTGTTGCAGAGAAGACAATAGAGAAGTCTGAAACTTCAGCCTACAAGTCATTAGGGGTCAATCCTCCAATTATCAATAAATAAAACGTTTTATGCTTTTAAATGACTACACTGCTGTTATTATATTTTCTCACCCAGCTCGGGATCTTTTTGCTCTGTTGAAATGGGAAATTTGTTTGGGAACGATTTCAACAAACACCAAACTTGATAGCATGAGTAATCCCAGCACTGTGGTTAAATGTTTTGATTATCCAGATGGGGTTTTCAGTAGTGCAGTAATGCTGTGCAGCAACTTTACTGGAAAATCCAGTGTGGTTTTATCTTTGCCCCCCCGTGTAACCTTTGAGTATAAAAAACAGTGTGAGAAACACAGCTTGAATCTGAATCGCTTCATGTTCACATCACCAGCTGGCTATATGCTTTTGTAATGTCTGTTATTGCATCTCAGCGTTTAATAGGAAATACAAGCTGTTTTTTTTTTTTTCATTTAATACCATATAATATCATATTGGATCCATCTCACACCTGGACACCACCGCGCCATAACAGAGATTACAAAAAAAATAATTTAAAAAAGGGGCAAATAGACTGAAAAGACTTTTTATCCCAGAGCTGCATAATGCAGCAATTTCCACATGAATGTGCTCTGTGTGATAAAGTGTTTCGCAATCTGGGAGATTGAAGAAAGGTTGCTTTTGTCTGTTTTTAAAACAATCTGTTATATAGTTTGATATAGTTTATGGTTTTTGCATACTTTTTTATGACTGCTGTGAGTGATCTTTGCACTGTTGAGACTGCACTTAATTTTATTGTACACCCAACATGCTACAGTGACAATAAAGGTATTCTCTGTTTTCTGTTCTGTGTGGTATCAAATGGTTTCTGAATGTGTCCCAAGGTTTCCCAGGGATTTAGCCTCCCCTTCTCAGTTGCTGCCTATCTTGGACAAGATCAGCCATTGGTTGCGGAGAATAAAAGCTCTGTGACCAGCCCCCGCCCCAAACTGGGAATGAATGCCCCTGCTTTCACTTTTTCCCCGCTCATCCGCAGAAGAAATACCATTGTTGAGTCCCTCTTTAGGAGCACAGACGGCCAGGCTTGAGTGTGGCGTTCAATGTCTGTACCTCCTCGTGTGATAGCAGGACCAACCTCTGAGCTTCCAACAATTATCATTATCAGAGGCAATAAGGATGAGAACACCTTTTATGAGTCACATCAGTCCGCAATGTTTTACTAATATGGCTCAGACGTCACTTTTTTAAACAAAAAGTTTGATAATTTGCATGTAGTAGTTCAAAATAATATTTGTATGAATTAGGTTTTGTGCAAAATATGATGACAGGAAAGAGGAAATAGCTTCTTTAATAAAAACAAAAGATTCACTTCCCTTTTGAGTCACATCTTTCTACAAATAGAGTTTCATGTGTGGAAATCTTTGTTCCTTTTGGCATCTCGACCAGTGCAAGTTTGGATTATTATTTATTAACATGTCTGTCTGTGTAGCCACCAAAATTAAATACAAACCCTTGGTCATCGTGACTTTAACACACTGCCTAATGATTGATATACTGTCATGGAGTGTATGAATTAGTGATAGAGAGAGCGAAAGGAGAGAAGAGGGAGGAGGGAAAGTGGTGGTCATGGGAGGAGAGGCAAGGGAGCAAGTGTTTCCTCAAGCTGACCAGGAATATAGTGCACATATAGCGGGAGGTTACAGGAGGACACCCTGTGTTGGCTCTGCTTTATCAGCTACTGGCCACACTCAGCTGATCTCTGGACCCTGGGGTTGAGCAACGCGAGAGACAGGCAGCTCTGAAATCACAAAGGCAGCACGGGAAGCCACACAGATTTTAAACAAAGTCGCAGAAAAAGCTGGATAGAAACCGCAACCTCGGGCTTGAGGAGGTGACGAGGGAAAAGGGCAGTTTCAAAATAGAGCAAGAATAGAGTTAAAGATTAATAGGGGCCATAGTGGTGGACAGGAGGTTTTGTTTGAGGTTCTGGGGAGGAGTATGAAGGATTGGAGAGGAGGGTGGGGGGGTCAGAGGCAGTGGTCTGGGAGAAAGTAATTTCAGTGACAGCCAGTGCCAGGGGACCAGAACTCATGTGAAACAGAGGAATTAAAAGATAAAGGAAAGAAAAAGGGACAAGAGGCAGACTGGACGGCCCCACACTGGACTTCAGTATGGGTGTAAAGAGCAAGGCTGCTGCAGCTATCCTTATCCTGCTGCTGTTCCTTGGCTCGCTGTGGCTACGTGAGTTTCTCTCTGTGTGGGTGCGAGCGTGTGTCTTTGATTCTCATGCTGTACTACTTAGTCTAAACAATCAGTGTGTTGTTTGTTCCGGATCAACAATGTCACATGATACCAAGCAGCCTTGATGTACAAAATACATTTAATATTACACATTTATTTATGGTAATGAAATAGTTACCCTTATTTTTCAAATAAGCTACTTCACAAATAATCTTTTACTGGTAAAGATTCTTGAAGGGTTATGTAAGTAACCCTCCAAGAATAATCTGTAAGCCTTAAAAATGTCACTGCGTTTTGCCTCATTAAAAAGAAGTAAAAGTGATTCATTGTCAAAGGAAATCAGTAAGTGGCTCCACTGTGACCTTTTAAAGGGCTAAGGAGCCACTTACTGATCTTTCTAAAAAATGTTCAAACTCAGTCCATGTGATCTGTCTTTGTCTAGTTTGTATTTATAATTCAGAATATTGGCCCCGGTTTTTAGTTGAAAGCATGAAATGTCACTTCTGCGTTTTTATAGTCAGGATGGAGACCATTTACAATAATTCATAGTCGAGTTATTTCTGCTGTTGCAGGTAAATCTGTGCTGTGTTTAATCTGAACTCATTTGCTTGTTTGCTAGTTTTCAGTATTTTGACCAGAAGCTCGATAACCTGAATGTTTATGGGTCAGTTTGGAGGATGAACCTGTGAATGTTTCTGCTGCTGATTCTGTGATTTGCAGTAACCTCACAGCTCCCTTAAAAAACACCAAACACTCCGCAGCACTCAGCATGCTCAACGCAGCTGTTGCCACTGTCACTGGCAACAATGTGTCTGTAAGGGTCTTGTTGTAAATAAACTGAACAGTGCCAAACTTTCATTAGCAACTTGCACATCAGTTAAGATGATAGGCAGGTAGATAAGTCGGTCTTTACATACAGAGATATACAATATGACGTAATACAGGATACAAGGACACCTTCTTACAATCATTTCCATGAGATAACAAAACTGTTAGATAACGGTGCTTCATGAATGTTACATTTCAGCCAGCTATAATCAAAATATCAATAACAATAGAAAACATTTTAAACAGTGACAGCGTGAGAAGGATTGTTTAATGAACCTACATAATACCACTACCTGCACCAGCAGCTCCTCTTACAGCTGCGAAGTGGGTTTCAGCTCATTGGTTTATACTTTTAGTTCACTCTCACAACTTTGCTTCTTCTTCTTTCTTTTTTTTTTTAAAGAGAAAGCACTGAAAGCTCGACCATATTGTAGTAGCTCACCATGAAACTGCAGACAAACACTAGCTGAAAATAGCATGAGCCATTAAGAGACAGTTATTTAGTTCACGGGTTTGTCGACACGCAAAGATAAACCAAGCTAAAGCTGTGTGACTATCTGAAAGATTAAATGATAACAATATCAATATTGCTCTGTGAACCAAAACTAACTGTAACCCTTGGTCTTTTTTCTCTTTTCAATGGTCCACTTCAGAGGGGGGGTTGGATTACCACTGGGATTCTTGTGTAAAAGGTTATAATCAGTTAAATAAGGTAAGAGTACCTCCTGAATCTGATATTAGATTGCTTGCAGACTATGAAGTGGATTTCTTTGTTTTTTTTTAAAACAAATGTCGTGCTTTCTTTCTTCCTTTGTCCCCTGCCGATTGCACCCACATTCATGCACTGCCCATCCCCCCCACCATTAGCTTCACCAGCTGTCCAACAGCAGTGTGGGCGATGGAGCTGAGAGCCAGCTTGAGCTGTGCCCCGGTCAGACCTTCCAGGTGTCACTTCTGCTCTCCCACCTGCTGGATGCCCCAACTCACAACTCTGATGTGCTGCTGCAGCCATATCTGTCCAGCTGGGACGAGCTTGTCAAGTAGGATTTTCAGATAAAGATTTGTTTACGGCCATCAGGAAGAAAAGTTATTTGTTGTTTGCTGATTATCTGAAATCTGTAAGCTGCTTTATCCTATTCTGTGTTACTCTTCTAGTTTCATGGACTCTCTGGGGCCAATGGTGGGACTGATATCTAAAGAGATAGAAAGTAAGACTTCTATAATTCGCCAGCTGGCCCTGACGGCAGACGGGAACCCTGAAGCAGAGGTAGGCCCGGATCTACATTCCATAAACTCTGTAAACTCACAGGGTGGTGGGACAAAGAATAAGGCGTCGGTGCACACCAGTGCTTATCACTCTGTGCGCTCTATGATCTTGGTGGAGCTGAATCAAGGCCTGGTGAGTTTCCACCACCAGACAGACTCTGGATGCCGGACTCTACTGCGCCTGCATCGCGCTCTGCTTTGGCTGAAGCTCTTCCTGGAGAAGCTGGCTGAGACACCAGTGGAGGGACGGCTCAGGAGTCCCTCTGACCTGTGTCGTGAGGCTTACAAGAGCACCCTCGCTCAACACCATACATGGTACGTCCGCAAGGCCGCCGAGCTGGCCTTCATTGCCCTGCCAGAGCGGGGTTTCTTTTTCAGGCTGGTGTGCATGCAGAACCAGGAGGAGATGAGCAAAGTGCTGCACAGGGTGTCTCGGGCCATCGGAGAGGTTTATGACCGGACACAGAAAGCTCTGGAGGAACATGGCATGCTGGACTTGCCATAAAAAATGAGATAATCAGACTGGACACAGGGGCACTGCTGCTGTTTTACCCGTCTTTGGGTTGTGCTTCTGCTCTGTATCCTTGGCGTCATATATTGGATTTAGATACAAATAAGATGCAAGCTTTTCTACGATGCAAGAATTGACTTGTTTTTCACCCAGAACTCCGCTTTTTTTTTTTTCTTCTACGGACCAAAGTGCTGAGTCAACAATCAACATGTGACATTCAGCTTTACTTTGATGTTTCTCATCAGATTTTATGGGGTACTATCTCAAACTTTGTTGCTGATGATTATGGTTTAGACTGTGCATTATTTACAAAAGTATAATTGATTTTTTTAAATAGCGCATGTGTAACTAAAATTGACAATTGGTAATTGCTATATTAAAAAGAACTGCTCTTTTACAGTGTTATTCCTCTGGTAAATTACCTCGTAACTATCGTGTTGGTCTGAAATCTCCACGCGACCAAATGGATTAGAAAGTTACTGCTTCACAGTGATGCTGTGTGTAGAGTATGGCTTTGTTATTTTTACATCTATGTCATTTTTTTGTATCATGTTAATGATTAATTAAAAAAAAAAAAGAGAAGACAATCCATTTGATTATTTCTACTCATCGTGTGATCCAGCAATGGAAAAACATTTAACTGGCAATAAAATGTTCTTTATGTTGTGCACCAACCAACCAGCAGAGGTTCCAGTGCCCTGCTAGAAGTCACATCACAGTGAATATAATCTGGTCTATGTGGCACTCTTACCTATACACACTCTGCACTTTTTGTCTGAATCCAAATGCAAAGGCTTTTCCTGTCCGAATACGTTTGGTATTACTGTTATAATATCAAAGAATATTCCGTATTATATTACAGAGTACACGTGTAACAGAGAGAATAGCATGTGTATGACTCATCTGCACTACTGGTGTTGATTAGACTGTTTTAAACCCAGCAGTACCTCCAACGCTGGCTCCATTTTTATGAAACGCTTTCTTTCTGAGTGGGCAACGGTGGAGAAAATGGGGTTAAAGTCACGGAGTGCAGAGGAGACAGGAGCTGGGTAAAGGTCAGGAAGCGGAAGTACACTTCACCTTTAATCCTGTCAACCACTTGGTGGCAGACTATTTAAAGCAACTGCCACAGGGGGGGGAAAGTACAACTTATAAAGCATCCACATTTTTCTCCTGTCTACAGTCAAAGTGACCTGTGACATGGATGGCATAATCATTTTGTGAAAATCAAGTTTATTTTGTATATAATCATCATATATTATATATACCATATATTACTGTTTTAAACAGTAATATATGGTTACCTGTGAGGATTATGGAGAATGAGATTATATTAGTTTCATTAGTTACATTCATCCGAAAACTACTTTTAACACTAGCTGGCTTGTTTTATTGTCAACTGTGAAAGTGATGCTATATTTAACTACACGTTGGTCACTGCTATTCCACCTAGTTTCTAGAACATGCCTGATCATGAGTAATACATCAATCCCTCCGCCCATGAAACTGGCAAAGAGTAGCAGAAAGATGACTGAGAAGCAGGCACGAAAGGAAGTTTGAGTTCCCTTAAATAACATTTATTCATTTCTCTATCTTGGTTTGCAGTAAACATGAGCAAAAATATACATACAGTTAGAGCAGAAAACAAAGATCCAGAATATTTATCATCTGTTAGGGAGAGAGTGTTTGAACAAATTCACTGAATTTCCTTCTTGTTGGCTTATAATACCAGTCTTAAGCAGTAATACAGTTTAACATTAAGGGGCAATGAGATTGTTTTTTACTTATTCATGTAGTTATCTCTACTTAAAAGCCAACAGTTGGCTTTCTCCAACCTTTGCAGTGGATAAAGTGTTGTCAGAACTCTGACAGAAAGCTTTGATTATAGGTTTGTTTTAAAACAGTAAAACAAACTCAAATGACAAAAACATTCAAAGAAAAAAAAAAACTCAAATCCATATCTATTCAAGTTTCCTTGAATACTATTCTGAAAATCTATCTAGTACGTCCTATCACATGATATATTCCAGGCTAATGCATTCTCTCATCTTTACAACAAAATACTCTTTTATAAACAAAACAATTCTTTTTTTTTAATGGTTCCATCATCATAATAACACACACTGGCATATATGCAGTCTTTCCCTTTTGTTCCTTACTGTTTCTGATGCACGTCGCTCTGATTGTGTTACAACCTTTCCTGTAAATATTCATATAGCCACACAAGAAATAAATATATTGCTTTTCAAAGACATTTCCAAATTATCACTGGAAAAAAAGCAGATAAATGGAGATAACAGGAAATAACATTCTGTGACACTGGGGGAGCAACACTGTCTGTCCACCAGGAGGCACTGTTATGTCGTGGTGAACCATGTTCCTTTGTGCGTATTATTATTATATAAGAGGAGGCCTTTTTATTATCACAGGGTATTTAGCCCTCCAGTTGGATCCTACAGTATCTCTGCATGGGATCCTTACTCAGATCTACTGCTGAGGATGTGTCAGACAAGTGGAAATTCAATTTTAACTGTCATGTAGATCTTTGGTTGAAGAAATCATCTTCACATGCGTGAGTGAAACAAGAGTGTCCGATTAGCCAGTGAAGCGGAACACTTTTATTTGTTGTGATGTGATTCAAACTAAACAAAGTGTAATGTGAATGTGGTGAGCAAAATGAGAAATGAATAAACCTTGAACCGGCCGCCTGACACGAGGAGGAGGAGCAACAGAGCGGGGTAAAGAAGTTCAGCGTGCCTGCTCTGGATTAGCTGACCAGATTAAGAGATTACATTGAAATTAAGTAAGTGTTGCAGCGGTGCAAGAGGAGAAATGCATGCAAACTGGGTGGCGGACTCATGAAAAATTACTGTTAGAGCTGATCATCCATTATAAATGACCTTTCAAATATAGATCAGATAATCACCTTGGATCTAATGGGCTTGCCTTCATTCTCTGTCAGATGATGCAGTCTTATTTAAACCACTGCAAGATATTTGCAGGCATACAGAGAAACACACAGCCTTCCAAAACAAATTAATAATCAGCCAGACCTTAATGTGAGCGAACAGATGCTCGTGTTCTATATTTGCTGCAGTGACATGGCAGGATCACAGTCTAACTGATCTAACAGTTTTGGAGCTGTGCAGAGGTAACGTGCCTGAGTTTAAAAGTGTGACTCCACAGATTTCTCAAGCCAATAATTTAAGGGATGCTTAGTAAACAGCTCAAGCACTAAACTCAGGAACATGTCTGACTTTTTTAGAGGCTGAAACTGATTGTCTTGTTATCAGTATGGGTTTTCCTTCAGTATGATTCATACAATACCGGGGAACACAACAACATCGAACCAAATTAACAAAAAAATATCTTTCTTCTGTGGTCAATGGAGTAAATCTTCATGTTGTTTTTAATTTGCTACAGCCCTACAAATCAAAACTGAACTAACATTCAAAATAATAAAGTAACGACTGTCTTTTAAAATAAGAGGTAAAGTGTACATTTTCGTATCTCAGATGCATCCTTTAGGTGACGAAAATGAGAATGAATGAGAAAAAAGAAAACTACCCAAAAAAACAAAACACAAAAAACAAACAACTTCCTTCAAAACTGGAAATGCATTAATAAACTCAAGTCAGCTTCACAAAAAAAGAAAAGAATAAAAGCGCACTTTCTGTGCAAAACAATACCATTTTTTTTTTTACAATGGCATCTATTTCTGATACAAGTGAAATAGATGCAATACACTCAATAATACAGCTCCTCTAAACATCGATTGAATATTAATATTAAAAACTGAAACGCAAGAAATTCTAGGTTTGACTTTGGGAATAAAATGTGATATTGAATTTTGTCTGTGTGTGTTTGTGTGCTCGTGCAGAACAGAGGTCGATTTTGTCATTTTCACATGATATTCAGGTATCTTATTGGACTGCAGTCCAGGATCCACAAAGCTAGAGTTCAGTTTACCCCGTAACCGACTGAGAATTCAGGTGTTATATGACCCCCCCCATATATAAATATATATATATATCATCTGTTTCACAAGCTACTCATTCACAATGAGAGTGAATATCAAATGATCCAAAATGATTACTATTTAATAGAAGTCATCTGATGAATGGATACGGGCATTCATAATGCATGCCACTTAATGAATATTGCACATTGCATGCAACTTCCCGACCTACAGTATGAACTAAAACACACGATCTCCTGCACTCTTTACTCCTCTTTACCTGTAATGTGTACCTCATGTTCTTCTTTTTTTGGGGGCGGGGGGTCATCTTACTGTATCACTTTTTTTTTTAAAAAACACAGGTTTAAAGATTACGGTGTGGTCCCTCCTGGTGGTCAGTCGCTGAACTTATTACAGATGTAAGCAGCCGAGAGGTGGGACACAGGAGCCTCCTGCCTTTGTAGCATACTAAGACAATACGCACATGCAAATGGCATCATCTCTGCATCAATCCTGTTTGTTGGAATATTCTTTTAAAGTGCAACAAAATAGACGCACTGATGTAAGATTACTATTATTATGCTGTATAAATACTGTAGATATACACGCTCGGTATTGTAATTTGTGGATCTTCATATCTAGAGGGATACTCTATGAGGAGGCAGCGGGTTGGCGGGGGGTGGGGAGCAGCAGTACAGTGGTAAAGTTGCTGATCCTTGCAAACTCTGCAAACACACGTCCACGTCCTTTATAGCCCCCTAGTTTGTCATGCAGTATAAATAGACATCACCTCAAACTAACTGATGGAAAATAACCTGTGTGTGAATGCTCACAGAAATAATGACAGGATTAGCACCCTTTTGGTTCTCACCTCGTCTCGCCACGTGACCTGACAAAGAATTTCCCACAAAAATCTGTGGAGAGGTGTGGGGTGGAGGGTGGGGGTGAGGTTGGAAAGGGTTGGGGGTGTAAACAAATCCTAAAAAGGGTGTGAATACTGTGATTTTTGTTTTCTGTGCATGTGCAGTGTTGCTGAGAATGAAGACAGTATGTTTTGGGGGATGAGGCTGGTGGGGGTGGGGGTTAGGGTGGGGTTGGAGGAGGGGGGTAAACCTAGTTTTTACTGTTGATCCTCAGCTTGAAAGACACTCGCCCAGCAAACTTGTCCCTTTCACCTCCAACGGGAATGTTTTCGGCGTTGATCTTGCACTCAATGTTCACGTCTTCATTGTGAGTAATGTTGAGGAACTTGACTGCAACCAAGGGCTGAGAGTAGTTCACCTGCAAAAACAGTCAACAAAGACGTCGTAAACCTGCGGACCCAGTAGGTTTAACTCTGTGGTCTGTGTGCGCAATTGTAAACAAACACACATTAATTATTAACAGTTACTGCTATCGTGTTTACAGCACATTATATTTTAATTTAAACCACATTCTTACCTGCGCTTTCTTGCCGTAGTAAGGGAAGTACATAGGGTTGATTGTGCCATTTGGAGGAAAGTAAATCAACTCTCCAATTTTATCAGCGTCATCTTTCTGAGGGGGTGAAACGGCTTCATCAGTTATATAGCTATAATCTCCACTTTATAAGGTGGAGGTGAGCTTTATTTGTCTACTTTTCTCT